CGCAATAATTGCTTCCACAACAAACTGACGCTATGCTTGAATAAGGCCATGTCTCAAGTCGACGGGACATCGAGATAAATATGCCGGGTCTTGCGAGGACGCCCCCCTTTGCGCTGATAGTGGCCTCAAACTTTCTTGACAACGAAAAAAATACTCGCCACATTCTTTCCTTCTAGATATCGGGGAATGCTTTTGATGACGTATCGTGAGGGAGCGATATGCTTGAATCCTAACTCACCGTGAGAGGCGGAGGTTACCCACTGCACTGAGAACATAAACTGACAAGCGTTGTACAGATCTACCCGGTGCTCAATGATCTATCCATTGTCTATAGATCTACGATGTGTTCATAGATCTACCCAGCATTCAGTGATCTATTCAGTGATCTATCCAGTGATCATAGTTCAACCCGGTACTCAGTGATATATCCAGTGATCTACCCAGTGATCATAGATCTACCTAGCATTCAGTGATCTATTCAGTGATCATAGATCTACCCGGTACTCAGTCATCTATCCAGTGATCACAGATCTACTCGGTACTCAGTCATCTATCCAGTGATCATAGACCTACTCGGTACTCAGTGATCTATTCAGTGATCATACATCTACCCGGTACTCAGTCATCTATCCAGTGATCATAGATCTACCTAGCATTCAGTGATCTATTCAGTGATCTATCCCGTGATCATAGATCTACTCAGTATTCAGTGATCATAGATCTACCCGGTATTCAGTGATCATAGATCTACCCGGTATTCAGTGATCATAGATCTACCCAGTATTCAGTGATCTATCCAGTGATCATAGATCTACCCAGTATTCAGTCATCGTTCCAGTGATCATAGATCTACCCAGTATTCAGTGATCTATCCAGTGATCATAGATCTACCCAGTATTCAGTGATCTATCCAGTGATCATAGATCTACCCAGTATTCAGTCATCGTTCCAGTGATCATAGATCTACCCAGTATTCAGTGATCATAGATCTACCCAGTATTCAGTGATCTATCCAGTGATCATAGATCTACCCAGTGTTCAGTGATCTATTCTATGATCTATCCAGTGATCATAGATCTACCCAGTGTTCGGTGATCTATTCTATGATCTATCCAGTGATCATAGATCTACCCAGTATTCAGTGATCTATTCGGTGATCTATCCAGTGATCATAGATCTACCCAGTATTCGGTGATCTATTCGGTGATCTATTCAGTCATCTATCCAGTGATCACAGATCTACTCGGTACTCAGTCATCTATCCAGTGATCATAGACCTACTCGGTACTCAGTGATCTATTCAGTGATCATACATCTACCCGGTACTCAGTCATCTATCCAGTGATCATAGATCTACCTAGCATTCAGTGATCTATTCAGTGATCTATCCCGTGATCATAGATCTACTCAGTATTCAGTGATCATAGATCTACCCGGTATTCAGTGATCATAGATCTACCCGGTATTCAGTGATCTATCCAGTGATCATAGATCTACCCAGTATTCAGTCATCGTTCCAGTGATCATAGATCTACCCAGTATTCAGTGATCTATCCAGTGATCATAGATCTACCCAGTATTCAGTGATCTATCCAGTGATCATAGATCTACCCAGTATTCAGTGATCATAGATCTACCCAGTATTCAGTGATCTATCCTGTGATCATAGATCTACCCAGTGTTCAGTGATCTATTCTATGATCTATCCAGTGATCATAGATCTACCCAGTATTCAGTGATCATAGATCTACCCAGTATTCAGTGATCTATCCTGTGATCATAGATCTACCCAGTGTTCAGTGATCTATTCTATGATCTATCCAGTGATCATAGATCTATCCAGTGTTCGGTGATCTATTCGGTGATCTATCCAGTGATCATAGATCTACCCAGTGTTCGGTGATCTATTCTATGATCTATCCAGTGATCATAGATCTACCCAGTATTCAGTGATCTATTCGGTGATCTATCCAGTGATCATAGATCTACCCAGTATTCGGTGATCTATCCTGTGATCATAGATCTACCCAGTGTTCGGTGATCTATTCGGTGATCTATCCAGTGATCATAGATCTACCCAGTATTCGGTGATCTATTCGGTGATCTATTCGGTGATCTATCCAGTGATCATATATCTACCCGGTATTCAGTGATCTATTCTGTGATCTATCCAGTGATCATAGACCTACCCAGTATTCGGTGATCTATCCCTTGGTCATAGTTCTACCCGGTGTTCACTGATCTATCCAGCCAATCAATCATTTATTCAGGATGAAGGTCATAGGCCCACATACAAATAACAACTTACATGTATGTTTATGGTAGTGGCTATGCACATAACATTGTTTAACAAATACTTTCTTCTTTCATGAGCATGATAATGAAACATTCATAGTGATTTCATTTGTTCTGTATCGTTTTTGCAATCCTCTTTTTAAATGTATGCATATTTATATTAGTGATATATGCCTTTTGCAGATATGTACTTCTAATAGCTTCAGAAGTAGTACATATATCTTCTATTACTCCATCACATAAAGGGCAGTTTCTCATGCATATGTCAATTTTTTTGCCCCCTACCTTCAATACTTCTCAACTGTAATAGGCCCCTTCTAAAATATTTCGAAGCTCTATTTAACCCTTCTGGTTGTAACAAACTTTCATATTCTCTATAAAGGTTACATCTTGAAAAAGTGTTATTTATAGTAGATATCCATTTTTTAAGAAACAAGTTAATAGCACAATCGTTCAACATACTGAACGTGTATTATCTCCAACTGTTTGCGACAGCTGTTGAAGTGGCATTAGAAGTTGGTAGGATGAACAAGGGATATACAAATGCGACGTTTCGGTGTAGACACTTACACCGTTATTTGCATCACTTGCTTAGTAACGGTGTTAGTATCTTCACCGAAACATCCCATTCATTGTAATAGAGAAGTTGTCCATCAATAGAACCCGCCCCCCCCCCCCCCCCCCCCCCCCCCCCCCCCCCCCCCCCCTACACACACACCACACACACACCACCACCACAAACCTGTCTGTGCCAGCCAAACAAAACCAAAATCATGAGAAAATAGTATATATGTTTTAACTGAAGCCGAATGTTTATGCCCTACATTATCTAAAGTTAGTAGCATGCTGTACGGTTTTTTTCCACAAAAGGGCACATATGCTGTCATTGACACACAGAACACTCAAAGTACGGACACTTCTGCAGTGACTGTCATTGACACACAGAACATTCAACGTGTGGACACATCTGCACACCAAACATTCAACGTATGGACACATCTGCACACCAAACATTCAACGTATGGACACATCTGCACACCAAACATTCAACGTGTGGACACATCTGCACACCAAACATTCAACGTATGGACACATCTGCACACCAAACATTCAACGTATGGACACATCTGCACACCAAACATTCAACGTGTGGACACATCTGCAGTAACTGACGTGAAGACACCAAGTGTACATCCTACTCCGTCTGCTGGATAGAGCGCATCTAGGGGTATGTGAAAAGCACCCCAGTGAGTCAACTCGAGTCAGAGACGTGGGAGGACGTATGTCCCTGCATCGACGCCAGGATCAGCGAGGCTTTCATATCATCCTTCATTAGGCTAATTTGGGATATACAAATGTACAAGTGTCGAACATTTCCTGTGAACACTGACTGGCTCTATGTAAATATTTACATGGCATACACCACAGGCGTTTTAGCTCCAAGATATGAGAGTTGAAACACCTCTGTTTGATTGTGGTGAAGGGGAGAGGACAATACTACCATATACATAACACCCCTGTTGTCGGTTCTAGCAATCAACCGTATTACTTTCCTGCAGTGGAAACACAAGCGGCCGTTATCCAACCCATCCTCTGTCGCACCGCCGGCCCAGGGCGCCGTGACAACGTCACGCTGGTTACGGTAGAACATGGTACACGGTCATTGCGACTGGGGAAAGGGCTGGCGGCTATTCATCACGGGTAATTGGGTTGCGCACAATAAATGGACGGGACCGACACCTTCAGTGACGACAATCAGCCACATAACAACATCAGCTACTTGTCTAATCTCTCACATAGAGAACTCACGACACACCGGGGGAGAGAGGAGGGAGGGAGGGAGAGACCGCCGGCGGACATGGAGCGGATAATACCTGATAAGTTACATGATAGGGATATGATTATTACTCTCTGGTGGAAATGGGGGTAGGGAAGAGGGGGATATTTAACGGGGAGAATTACCAAGAGGTAAAGGTATTTCGTTTTGTGTGCATATTGTTGGGACAATGGAGTAACTTCATCTCACGCTTAGTAGAAGGAAAGCACTATGTATACACAAGATATGACTCTTCAGAAAGTTGTCAGTTTCGGAGAGATGGGATTATTCGGAAATTAGTCTTTGGGGTCTGGAAAGCAGCTTTAGTTGACCTGGAGACAAGAGACCATTCGGCCAGGGCGAGAAAGTCTAGCCAATGATTATGCCATTAAGTGAGGTGTGGGGTGTACAGGTGACACTGAAGCCGGGAGACGGGACTCCCCAAGCCGTCCTTCTCTACCATTGTACTCCAGAACAAGTGAGCACCTCTCAGCGTTACAACTCAACAAGCATGTAATAGTTCCTTAGCGACGAAAATATCTACACAATACTCACACATATGACACTGGAAGTTAAGTTTAAAAAATATGTAAAGTTTCCAACTGTGAAATATCCGGGTTGTCCCAGTGCCGCTTCCAGTGCCGTGTGCGGTGTATGAGACTGTGTCGTGTGCGGTGTGTGAGACTGTGTCGTGTGCGGTGTATGAGACTGTGTCGTGTGCGGTGTGTGATACTGTGCCGTGTGCGGTGTGTGAGACTGTGTCGTGTGCGGTGTGTGATACTGTGCCGTGTGCGGCGTGTGAGACTGTGTCGTGTGCTCCTGGAGAACACTCGGTGTGGAGGGATAACACATATGGACATTAGAAAACAAGAAAAGTGTCAACACTCACCTTTCCATCCACCTCGGATAACTGGGGTGATGCTGGCGTCACAACACACATATAAATCACGGTAATAAATAATACACAAAAACTCCATCGAATATAACAGTCCATGGTCCTTCTCCTTCCACTGAGGAAGTCCTCCCCTAGCGATCTGCCTGCCACTAGGGTAGGAGTACAGAGGTCCTCCCTACACTCGCCTGGGGGACGGGGAACAGCGTTGTGTGCAGACTCCTGCTCGCTACCTTCCCCACCATAGCCAGCGTCTGTAGTAGTAGGGCAGTAGGGAGGGGCCCTGAGAGAAGGTCTGCCACTGCCTGGTCCTGATGCTGTGGGACTGTGTTCCCCTACTGTCTCTCAAATACGTCGTCTATCATCAATATATGTACACATGCTGTGCTCCAGGTCACGTGACGACCTTCATCCTGTCTATCAGAGTATCGCCCAATCGGCTTGGGGGCGAATTATACAATTTACTGAATGAAGAGAACACATGTTGAATAGCCGGCTGTGAGTGGATTACCTGGCACAGGTGCGAGCGGCGGGGAAAGCGTGAGTGGGGGAGGTGGGGGGAGGGAAGGTCGGCACCTGGACAGCTAGCTACCCTGTCGATCACATATGAGCGGAGTGCGTATTGGAAGAATGTTGCAGACACCGTGTATGATACGTGGCTGGTGGACTTCCGTATAGAAGCCCCAGCTTCTCTGTGTCCGTACGTGGGCCCACTCAGCCGGCGGGTGCTGGGGATCCGAGCGTGCGTGCCACATGGCCTCGTGTTGGATGCACTCCGATAGGTGCTTCTCCTCTCATGTGTGTGTCTGTGTGAGAGGAAATGTGGGTCTGCTTATATTAATGTGTGACCTGTTTGTATTAATCTGTGTGTTACTTTGAATTAATGCGTGGCATGTATGTATTAATGTGTCTGTCTGTATGTATTAATGTGTGCCTGTATGTATTAATGTGTATGTTCGTTTGTATTAATGTGTGTGACTGTATGTATTAATATGTGGCCTGTATGTATTAATGTGTAGCCTGTATGTATTAATATGTAGCCTGTATGTATTAACGTGTGGCCCGTATGTAATAATATGTGTGCCTGTGTGTATTAATGTGTGTGTCTGTATGTATTAATATGTAGCATGTATGTATTAATGTGTGGCCTGTATGTATTAATATGTAGCATGTATGTTTTAATGTGAAGCCTGTATGTATTAATATGTAGCATGTTTGTATTAATGTGTGGCCTGTATGTATTAATATGTAGCCTGTATGTATTAATGTGTGCCATGTGTGTATTAATGTGTGGCATGTATGTATTAATATGTAGCCTGTATGTATTAATATGTAGCCTGTATGTATTAATGTGTGGCATATGCGTATTAATTTGTGGCATGTATGTATTAATATGTAGCCTGTATGTATTAATGTGTGGCCTGTATGTATTAATATGTAGCCTGTATGTATTAATGTGTGGCATGTGTGTATTAATATGTGGCATGTGTGTATTAATGTGTGTCATGTGTGTATTAATGTGTGTCATGTGTGTATTAATGTGTGTCATGTGTTTATTAATATGTAGCCTGTATGTATTAATGTGTAGCCTGTATGTATTAATATGTAGCCTGTATGTATTAATGTGTAGCCTGTATGTATTAATATGTAGCCTGGATGTATTAATGTGTGGCATGTGTGTATTAATGTGTGGCATGTATGTATTAATGTGTGGCATGTGTGTATTAATGTGTGGCATGTGTGTATTAATGTGTGGCATGTGTGTATTAATGTGTGTCATGTGTGTATTAATGTGTGGCATGTGTGTATTAATGTGTGGCATGTGTGTATTAATGTGTGGCATGTGTGTATTAATGTGTGGCATGTGTGTATTAATGTGTGTCATGTTTGTATTAATGTGTGTCATGTGTGTATTAATGTGTGGCATGTGTGTATTAATGTGTGGCATGTGTGTATTCATGTGTGGCATGTGTGTATTAATATGTAGCCTATATCTATTAATGTGTAGCCTATATGTATTAATGTGTAGCCTGTATGTATTAATATGTAGCCTGTATGTATTAATGTGTGGCATGTGTGTATTAATGTGTGGCATGTGTGTATTAATGTGTGGCATGTATGTATTAATGTGTGTCATGTGTGTATTAATGTGTGGCATGTGTGTATTAATGTGTCGCATGTATGAATTAATGTGTGGAATATGTGTATTACTGTGTGTCACGTATGCATAAATGTATGCCTGTATGTATTAATGTATGCCTGTATGTATTAATGTGTGGCATGTGTGTATATTCATGTGTGGCATGTGTGTATTAATGTGTGGCATGTGTGTATTAATGTGTGTCATGTATGTATTAATATGTAGCCTGTATGTATTAATGTGTGGCATGTGTGTATTAATGTGTCGCATGTATGCATTAATGTTTGGCATGTGTGTATTAATGTGTGTCATGTATGTATTAATATGTAGCCTGTATGTATTAATGTGTGGCATGTGTGTATTAATGTGTCGCATGTATGCATTAATGTGTGGTATGTGTGTATTAATGTGTGTCATGTATGTATTAAAAGCAGCCTGTATGTATTAATGTGTGGCATGTGTGTATTAATGTGTCGCATGTATGCATTAATGTGTGGCATGTGTGTATTAATGTGTGGCATGTATGCATTAATGTGTGTCATGTATGTATAAATATGTTGCCTGTATGTATTAATGTGTGGCCTGTATGTATTAATATGTAGCCTGTATGTATTAATGTGTGGCATGTGTGTATTAATATGTGGCATGTGTGTATTAATGTGTGTCATGTGTGTATTAATGTGTGTCATGTGTGTATTAATGTGTGTCATGTGTTTATTAATATGTAGCCTGTATGTATTAATGTGTAGCCTGTATGTATTAATATGTAGCCTGTATGTATTAATGTGTAGCCTGTATGTATTAATATGTAGCCTGTATGTATTAATGTGTGGCATGTATGTATTAATGTGTGGCATGTGTGTATTAATATGTGGCATGTATGTATTAATATGTAGCCTGTATGTATTAATGTGTCGCATGTATGCATTAATGTGTGGCATGTATGTATTAATGTGTGTCATGTATGTATTAATATGTAGCCTGTATGTATTAATGTGTGGCACGTGTGTATTAATGTGTCGCATGTATGCATGAATGTGTGGCATGTGTGTATTAATGTGTGGCATGTATGTATTAATGTGTGGCATGTGTGTATTAATGTGTGTCATGTATGTATTAATATGTAGCCTGTATGCATTAATGTGTGGCATGTGTGTATTAATGTGTGTCATGTGTGTATAAATGTGTGTATTAATGTGTGTCATGTATGTAATAATATGTAGCCTGTATGTATTTATGGGTGGCATGTGTGTATTAATGTGTGGCATGTGTGTATTAATGTGTGGCATGTGTGTATTAATGTGTGTCATGTATGTATTAATGTGTAGCCTGTATGTATTAATGTGTGGCATGTGTATTAATGTGTGGCATGTATGCATTAATGTGTGGGATGTGTGTATTAATGTGTGGCATGGGTGTATTAATGTGTGTCATGTATGTATTAATATGAAGCCTGTATGTATTAATGTGTGGCATGTGTGTCTTAATGTGTGGCATGTGTGTATTAATGTGTGGCATGTGTGTATTAATGTGTGTTATGTATGTATTAATATGTAGCCTGTATGTATTAATGTGTGGCATGTGTGTATTAATGTGTGGCATGTGTGTATTAATGTGTGGCATGTGTGTATTAATGTGTGTCATGTATGTATTAATACGTCGCCTGTATGTATTAATGCGTGGCATGTGTGTATTTATGTGTGGCATGTGTGTATTAATGTGTGGCATGTGTGTATTAATGTGTGTCATGTATGTATTAATATGTAGCCTGTATGTATTGATGCGTGGCATGTGTGTATTAATGTGTGGCATGTGTGTATTCATGTGTGGCATGTGTGTATTAATGTGTGGCATGTGTGTATTAATGTGTGTCATGTATGTATTAATGTGTCGCATGTATGCATTAATGTGTGTCATTGATGTATTACTGTGTCGCATGTATGCATTAATGTTAGGCATGTGTATATGAATGTGTGTCATGTATGCATTAATGTGTGTCATGTATGTATTAATATGTAGCCTGTATGTATTAATGTGTGTCATGTGTGTATTAATGTGTCGCATGTATGCATTAATGTGTGGCATGTGTGTATTAATGTGTGGCATGTATGCATTAATGTGTGGCATGTATGTATTAATGTGTCGCATGTATGCATTAATGTGTGGCATGTGTGTATTAATGTGTGTCATGTATGTATTAATATGTAGCCTGTATGCATTAATGTGTGGCATGTGTGTATTAATGGGTGGCATGTATGCATTAATGTGTGGCATGTATGTATTAATGTGTGGCATGTATGTATTAATGTGTGGCATGTGTGTATTAATGTGTGTCATGTATGTATTAATATGTGGCATGTATGTATTAATGTGTGTCATGTATGTATTAATATGTAGCCTGTATGTATTAATGTGTCGCATGTGTGTATTAATGTGTGGCATGTATGCATTATTGTGTCGCATGTATGCATTAATGTGTGGCATGTGTGTATTAATGTGTGGCATGTATGCATTAATGTGTGTCATGTATGTATTAGTATGTAGCCTGTATGTATTAATGTGTGGCATGTGTGTATTAATGTGTGGCATGTATGCATTAATGTGTGGCATGTGTGTATTAATGTGTGGCATGTGTGTATTAATGTGTGGCATGTATGCATTAATGTGTGGCATATGCGTGTTAATGTGTGGCATGTGTGTATTAATGTGTGAGTCTGTGGCCAACATGTATTAATGTGTGGCATGTGTGTATTAATGTGTGTCATGTGTGTATTAATGTGTGGCATGTATGCATTAATGTGTGGCATGTGTGTATTAATGTGTGGCATGTTTTTATTAATGTGTTAGTCTGCGGCCAACATGTAGTAATGTGTGGCATGTATGCTTTAATGTGTGGCATGTGTGTATTAATGTGCGGCATGTATGTATTAATGTGTGGCATGTGTGTATTAATGTGTGGCATGTGTGTGTTAATGTGTGGGATGTATGTATTAATGTGTGGCATGTGTGTACTAATGTGTGGCATGTGTGTATTAATGTGTGGCATGTGTGTATTAATGTGTGAGTCCGTGGCCAACACGTATTAATGTGTGTCATGTATGTATTAATATGTAGCCTGTATGTATTAATGTGTGGCATGTGTGTATTAATGTGTGGCATATATGCATTAATGGTATCATGTATGTATTATTATGTAGCCTGTATGTATTAATGTGAGGCATGTATGCATTAATGTGTGGCATGTGTGTATTAATGTGTGGCATGTATCTATTAATGTGTGGCATGTGTGTATTAATGTGTGGCATGTATATATTAATGTGTGGCCTGTATGTATTAATGTGTGGCATGTATATATTAATGTGTGGCATGTATGCATTAATGTGTGGCATGTGTGTAATAATGTGTGGCATGTATGTATTAATGTGTGGCATGTGTGTATTAATGTGTGGTATGTGTGTATTAATGTGTGGCATGTATGTATTAATGTGTGGCATGTGTGTATTAATGTGTGGAATGTGTGTATTACTGTGTGGCATGTG